ACCCGTGGCGAGAAAAACAGTATGTTTTTGCGTATGTATCCGTAAGGAGCATGAGTATGTATTCGTAAGGCACATGTACCAGTGTCATGTAACAACAATAAATGTTCAGTTCACTTTTGAAGTATTCAGTCAATCAATGGTCCTTCACCAGCGCAACCAGGTGGTTAATGGCAAGTGCGTAAATTAGTACGTGCACCATAAGACCCCACAACTATAATAAATCTTATGATAGAACTTTAAAAATGAAACCGTTAGAAGTTAACAAAGACAACGAAAAATCACTCCTCAAGAATGTTTACACAAACGTGAAAATTGCTAATAATACTACTAAACTTAAAATTGGAGACTTTTTCAGTAACTACCGAGGTATTTTTGATAGACTCGAAACTGCTCGATTGAAATTTTTACCATCAAGAAAGTCAACCATACAAATTCAACATGTTTTCTACATGATGACAAAGGTGAAAATTTTTCAGGTGGTTTTTATGAATTCTAAATACAGAAATTATACATCCTGAGGTATATTTAGTTGAAAAAGTCTTGAGAAAAAAAAGAGACAAACTTTAAAAGCTGATTCTTTGAAATTTTATATGGCAGTTCCAATATTGTATGTGTTCCTTGAATATTGCTCAATCTATATATCTTTGGTTGTATGCATCTCTTCCTGATTAAAGCAATTTGATTCATAATAAAAGTACCTTATGGATTTAGTTATATCAGACAAAAATTTCAGTTATTATTAAGTACATATATAGAATAATCAATTTTCTATTTAAATAAACTGATAACGATGTTCAGCAGTCTTGTTAGTCATCATCGTTGATTGAGAATCGCCTTGAGAATTGTTGTGATGTTCAATTTTTTCATTTTCATTTGTACTTCTTCTTGCTGAATCATGTCTTCATATGGTGTCCAATAATTGTTACTGAAATGCAAATCCAGGTCGACATTTTCAAATATTAAGGTATAAGCATGACCTAAGCACCCGATGATCTGATATGAATGTAACAGGGAACGAAATCTAAATTAAGATTAGTGTTAAAGACAATCAATTAGAAATTTTCAAAATGCTACCATTTTCCATTCTACAAAATTCATATTTATTATTGTATTAAATAGGTCAACTTGGAATCAAACTTAAGAGGTTACTGTTCACACACTAGTATTTATTGAACGTATTGTCTTATATTCCGTGATAATAGATGCATTATGCTTTTAAAACCTTCTATTGGAATTTGAATTACACGTTTTACAAACGCCAGAATAACGCCATTTTATAGTTTGCGCAGGTATTTTTTTAACTTCTTTTTCTTCACACAAAATTTTACCTGATACGTGAATTTCAGGTGATGGTACATCATTTTTATCGATATTTGGTACATATTGATTTTCAAAGTCAAAATCCCTATTCACTAAACGACTTTTTAAATCAAATCTATTTCTAATAACAAGCATATCACTACTATCTCACACATTGTAGGATCTGGGATGTTCTGTGAGACGTTCACAATTTTACCAGACTCCGACGAATTGGTATTGCGGTTAAAAACTGATACATTTGGATTAGGCTACAGGGGCTTTAAATAATTAGCTGTTTTATTATAATAAAGTTAATTTCTGTCCTGTCGAGATATGAGTTTTCACAAAATCTTGGTTAGTAACTCGGCCGACGCAGGTAACTTAGTTTTACACCTCCGATTGATGAGTAATTGGGCCGGGGAGTAATTAACAAATTTAACATTAAACTTTCAAATATATGTTTGCAATCTTCCAAAGCTTTTTTAGTAATTTTTTTACTATTTTCGACGAGTTAGTAAATGGATCATTATCTGGAACTAATGTTTCTGGGTATCCAAATTTAGAAAAAATACATTTCAGCTTTAAAATCACATTCTCAGCAGATTTATTTTAATGACATCATCTCTAACGCTCTTAAACTTCCAAATATATGTTTGCAATCTTCCAAAGATTTGTAGTAATTTTTTTACTATTTTCGACGAGTTAGTAAATGGATCATTTTCTGGAACTAATGTTTCTGGGTATCCAAATTTAGAAAAAATACATTTCAGCTTTAAAATCACATTCTCAGCAGATTTATTTTAATGACATCATCTCTATCGCTCAGTAACTGGATACAACATTAGGCTTGATTTGTTATTTTTATTAGCAAACTTTTCTCAGAATATACATTTTTTTATAAAGTTTTCAATATCTTGATTAATGAGAGGCCAATAAAAAATTTATAGTTTAACTATTTCATGTTTGAGTTGATTAGGCACAACTAGCTTACAGCCGTGAAACAGTTAGCCGTCAGAAACTGATAATTCATCCGTAAATTTATAGAACTCTTTAGTAAACATTAGTAATTTACTGTGATCTGGCCATTCTATTTGAACAAAATTAATAATATTGGACAAAGTATCTGCTATATACAAATATTTACCCGGTGACTTTAAAGTCATAGTCTACTAATTGAAGCATCATTCGTTGAAGTCGAGGTGGTACTTTGACGTCATAATTAAAATAATGAAACTGTTGACAGCTAAATAAAACTACCAGGAATTCTTTCTCAATTTGAGTGTAATTGCACTCACTTTTGGATAGACTCCTAGATGCAAAAGCTACAGGATGTCCATTTTGCGTCTCAATTTTAAGGATTATGGTACTTTAAGGGTACATCATGTTCAGTTGGTATAAACTTGCCTAAAAATTTTGACTCAAAAGATGTCTTATGTTGAGGTCGCGGTATGTCAATAATTGCTTTAACACCATCTTTTTTGAATACTTACGTAAAAACTTAACTTCACTTGATCTAAACTGATTTTTGTCACTATTAAATTTAATGTTATATTTAGAGGCTCGCTGTAATACCATTTTTAAATTATTATCATGTTCAGCTTTGGAATTTTCACTAATAATCAGATCATCAAAATATATATCTACTCCCTGTAAGTCACTAAAAAGCTCGAAATTCTTTTTCTGAAACACGTCTGAAAGGTAGCCTGCAAAATTAACAGGGACGAAATATTGTACCAAATGTACAGTAATCAACTGATCTGTCATCTATTTTGACTAGGGATATGAACAACGCTTTATTACTCAGTTTGCTAGGAATTATGTTGGCTGTCGGAATCAGGAAATGTTCCCTTTGATTTTTTTTTAATCTTTTGGGATCCAGACATAACCTCAAGTCTACGTTTTTTTTTTCAACGACTACCAATGGATTAAGCCATTGAATTGACTTGTCGACTTTCCTAATTATAACTTGACGTTCGAACATCATTCAACTTAATTTTGACTCTACTAACAAGTGGCAGAGGTATACGCCTGATTGATTAAATTTGAGGAACAGCATCGTTTTTGAACACCATTTTGTGTTCATCTGAAAACAGTTTTTTTTATAGAGAATTAGGAATCTGCTAATTAATCAGACATCCGGGCTTAGCTCATGGCGATATTATTTGCCCCGATAGTGTCGGGTTGGTGCTTCCACTGGAAGTCACAGACCGATTAAACCTTTCCCTCTTTTACCCTTTTGTCTTCCTGAAACTACTGACAAGCATTACTTCAAGAAGAGGGTCTCCGATTGACTGAAGTTCAGCGAGCTTGTATAAGATTTGGCCGTTCTATTCTTTTGGCAGAGAGTCTTTGCTTTGTCATTTTGCAAACATGGTCCCAATTTGTGGTCGACTCTAACATTTTTTCAACTAGGTTGTCTGAGCTTATGTGACCGTATTTGCTCCGCTATATTTCGGTGCATGTTCCATCTTGGGCCGAAAAATAGTGTGTGCTCAACCGTATGTATCCACGTATAAGCAATAAAGGCGCTCCTTGGTTTCGACCAAATTAAAACACTTTAGGAAAATATTTCTCAATATCACTTATATTAGAAAATCTAATTCTTCAACTGTCAATTCTTTGCAACAGTTTAAAATCTAAGCAGCCTTGAAAACCTAATAGTGGATGCAGAATTTTTGAAAACTTTACACAATAATGTCACTTTACCATAATGTTTAATTTTAAGCTTCGAATTACTATAAGACACTAACGTCAAATATGATTAACGCATTTGTTTTAGTAGTCTTGAAAATGTTGAAACCTCTGCTCCGGAGTCAAGTTTTAAATTTACTATTGTACCTTATATGTCAATTTTCTTGCTTCCCATTACTTCGTGCACACTGCTCGTCGCATGTTGTTCTTTATTACAGCAACAACAAAAATTCCTTCTCCCTCTCATCATCGCTTGAACTGTCTGAACTGCCTTACCTTTCATGTTCATGTTCTGTACTATTCTTACATTTGCTAATCCCTTTTTCATGTTTCTCCCATTTTTTACCAGTTTGTCCACCATTCCGATCCTTGTTCTTCTTGAGACATTACTTAAATGGTTTTCTCAGTCACATTCAGCACAGGCTTTGCCAAAAGCTGTACATTTATAAATCTATCCCAGTTTGTCCCACCTTGTCTTATATTCCATGATAATAGATGCAGTATGTTTTAAAACCTTTTATTACTATTCCAATTGCTCATTTTACAAACGCCAGATTAACGCTAATTTCATTAACTGTTTATGTGCTACTTTTTAACGGCGGTATCCTGGTAACAATTCACACTAGATGTCACAATGGTTGCCGATAGTAGTACTACATAAGACAACATATAACACACGTATCCCTCTACAAAGCTTCCCCCCTCTTCTGCAGATGCGCGTTAGCCCGAGCTGAATACGATTAATACTACGCATGCAAACCCCGACCATTGCCTAAGATTTTACGCGAAAACCCGAATAAGAATGAATGCGCCAACCCGTATATACCCGAAGATTTAAAATTTTCCAGCGCCCAAAGTTACATTCTTCGTTTCGAACTTCGTTGTTTGGTCCCAAAACGTGGTTAAACGAAATAACTAGTTCGCAACTTAAAACTGGGACTCCAGCGATTCGAAATTAAATATTTGCTCATTAATCATATTCCAATAAAACTGTTATCGTTTCTTTTCAGGTACTGGGCGGTAACAAACGTCGACTACATCCACACAAGAAACGGAAGTAGAATTGGAATAATGATCGTAATTGTGTGGATTATTGCTCTCGTTGTGTCTTTGGCTCCACAAATACCTCAGTTTAAAGACACCGACTATTTGTACAGGATAGAAGTTAAAAAACAATGTTTAGTTAGTCAAGATGTTAAATATCAAATTTTTGCTACTAGTTCAACGTTTTACGTTCCTCTTCTGGTAATATTTGCATTATATTGGAAAATTTTTCAAACGGCACGAAAGCGGATTCGAAGAAGGAGAAATATGAAGGACTACAACGACAAAGTGGGAAAAACGAACAACAACAGTAGGTAAGTCTATTAATTTATGATATTAGCTAAAAATATATTCCGTTCTCTCTGGATCACTGTGTAATGATATAATATAATAATATATAATATTACAATAATAATAATAATAATAATATAATATATATAATATATAAATATATTTTATAAATTTTTTGTTAGGAGCCCATTTGAAGATGTTTTTAGACCAATTCTGTTTTTCTGAAAAACTTCCACTACATTTACAAATCTTCTGGATTCCTCCTGCGTCGGTGGTGGATAAAGCGAACTTGCTGACGTTTCGTCAGTTGTCCTTGTCCTTTATTATAAAATTGTCAAAAATAATGAAAAACAATTGACTTATTAATTACCGGCCACTTAAAATGAATGCCCTTGAATAAAATAGCGGTTACCAGTTGCGTTACTACTAAGTGTTTTAGTAACTTATATATATTTATTATATAAATATATATTATATAAATATTGGCCTAAAAAAATGTTAACATCATTTTATTACCATCAAAACGAAACTCTGAATGACATCTAACCTGAAGTAATACCGTTGGAAAGTGATAGTAAAACGAAAATAAATTACTGTTTTGTTATTTGCAATAACAAAACAGTAAATGCAAATGCCGGGACAACCAACCTACGATATTTTATTGATCAGGTTTGGATTGCTTAAATATTTGTACAGAGTCTCGGAATTTTCGCTAGTAGAAGAATTTTAGTTTTATCGAATAAAATTTGATGCCGGGTGTCGTGATTATGTTCGGCAACTGCTGATGAGTTTATTTGTCGTAGTCTTAAAGCTATTTCATGTTCTTTGAGATTAGTTGATATTTTGCATTTAGTCTGTCCAATGTATTCGTTGCCGCATATGCACGAAATTTTGTCTTTGACTGATCGAAGATTTTAAAAGATTTTTGGACAAGTTGTAAATCTGGTTTTGAACCTAGAATTAGAACCTATAATTAAGACACCTTTCATCTGCTCTTCTCTCGAATAATTTCCACATTAGAGATATTAAGGGTTCCATTTCAAAATACACAGTACCACAACTTTCCAAAGGCAATAAGTCCGAAAGCAACCCAACACCTGCCACATATCAAACGTTATTAAGAAAAATAACGTTAATTCACAAAAATTTACTACTACATACTTAGAGATATTGCCTTTTAGTTTGGTGCATTTTTTTGTTTGAAAGGTTTTTTATTTGAAAGATTCACAATCGTTGAAAGTTGCTTAATTGCGGAAGACAAAAATAATTTCAACAGGAAAATCATTGTAACTCATTAGTGATCCGATATAAGGAAAGGTTATATTATTACATAATACGTACTTTTTGCAATTCTTATGAAATTTCACCATTATTATTATTAACGGGTTATTATAAAAATCTAAAAAATAATTATTTCCTGAAAGCATTTAGTACGCCGTAATAGTGAGTGACATCTCGAGATTGAGTGCGAGAAATATCTCGAGCAGCGTAAAACCGTAAATACACAAATTGTTGCTCTCGATCGTTTGAACCAATTAGCCATATTTCTTATGAACTTTGGGTTACGCCTAATTTGATGTGGAAGAGAACAATTTTCAGGCTCTTTTAGATTTTTGCATATAATTGAAGAACTCTGTATTTAATCGAAAAAATGCCTAAATAAAAGTTATAGTAACACGTACTGCGTCTCTTGGTTTAAGAATTTTTCCAACCGGGTAAACAGTTTTCGAAAATATAATAACCCAAAAAAAAATTCCAAAATTTTTAAAAAATACTTCGCAATATTTTATGGCGCTCAGTTTCAACAGTTTAAATACCGGCGTGGACTTCTATCCCTCTCCTAAATTTAAAGTCGATGGTTGCAAATATGAGTCACTTGTTACATTCCTTAATATCGCACGGAATATCGTGAACACACTCTACAAAAGGTGCAAACATTAGCTGTCTGTACGGGCAATAGGGCTATATCGTCGTGCAAGCCAAATTGACTGTTGATGCTCCTCGCATTCCTCGCCTCGGTCATTTTCCTCAGTACCCCTTGGCACTCCTTTATCAATAAGGAGCGCGTGCGCACTGACTTCGGTGCCATAAGTGCAGCCCTACTGTCAGAGCAGAAGAATATTCTCCTGCTTCCGTGGTTGACCCGAAGCACCTCTCTGGCCGCCATCATTATAGCGAAAATTTCCGCCTGAGTATTGACCCAGAGGGACTAACAAGCTCGATTTCGTTGTCTCGCAGTACGCTCCAAATCTCGCATTCTGGACCAGCCCGTGTACCAGAGAAGTCCATCCCAGGAGCCCACTCTGCCCTCTCTCCACTCTTCCCTTGATGGGATTTGTCAAAGAAGGTCATCTCGGGAATCATGACGTCACTCGGCATGTTCATGACACCGCAATCCGCGGGCCAGCTTGCTAAAATGTCGTACGGGCCCCGCTTGAAGGAAAATAGTGAATCAAAATGTTCGCCAGCAGTCGTAACGTCCATTATTTAAGTAAAGCGTTTTCTCCCGATTTTTTAACTAATTCGCATCTCTTTCAGGAACCAAAAATTTGCACTGTCTCTTTACGGGAAGTGGTGGGGGTGTGCAATCAATTTTTTAGATGATTATCAGTAACTTGAAATCTGGTTAATAGATTTAAAGAACGTTGAAAAAACTAGTCTTAAACATTAACGTTTTTGTATGTTTTGTTTTATACATAATTACAATTAAGTGTGCCTATAAAAAAATACACAACGATATGACGTTTTTTAATAAAAGATAGCCTAACAAGTCAGTGAAAATCGTATACAGGTGTGTCTTTCCTAACCTAAAGTATGAGATAACGAATTTAAAAGTCGAAAAATTATAATTTTTTTTATTTTCAAAATTATAACTTCTTTTTTTCCAGTTTCTTAGTTACTTTAAATATTAATACTGATGGTTAAACTTGCCGTTGAAGAATTAATCAATTCTTGCTGTTGGCAGCAATGATGACAATCATCGGGAGGCTGCGGCGTTGCTGTCGGCATTTTCATGAAACGGACACTGACTGAAGAAAATCAGTTAGAAGTGTTGCAAACGGTTGTTTAAAATTCAAAAATTTTAAGGAAGAAATAAACGGCACAGTTCAGCAGAACGTATCACAAGCTTTTGCTGGGAAGGAATCGCATTTGGTTTCAAGGAGAAGTGGAAGATATTTTCTTTTCAAGAAAAATTTTATATCAGTGATGGGTCATTTACTTCAAATGGTTTTGTATGTTCGCCGAATTGTCGTTGGTAGAGCAAAGTAAACCCCAATTTCGTAATCCAATGCCGTGACTAAATGTATTTCCAAAAGAATGTTTGGTTAGTTGCGAATAGTGGTTTCATATATTTCCCTCCAAAATATTACTAGTGAAATTTAGTTTTGGTTAGTTTTTTCTATAAAAACCGAAGTTTTTTGATTTCATCTATTTCATTGGTTTTTAGTGCACTCTTCAGAAAGTCACAAATAAATGGACGAAATATGGAGTGTTAAAGAAAAATAATTTGATTTGATTTTAAAAAATTGTTTAAATTATCGAGAAATATCCAAGTTAATTGAGGTTGTTCAAAATTATCTAAATTTTTAAGTTTTATTTAAGGTCTCGGACACAATGAGGATCTTCGTAGAGAATTTTAGTGACCTTTAATGAATTAGGAAAGTACAAATACGAATTTGTAGTTTAAAGTTTGGTTGTTGAAGGTAAGACGGTTTTATTTGCACCTCAGCGTTCGTTTCAAAATTTCAATTGCAAGTTTAATTTTAACTAACTTGGCATAGATTTGTGGCTGCTTTGCACACATTCTGGTTATTCAGATGGTGATAAAAAAGCATTTGATTTTTGTTTCTAGTATGTTGTTCCTTGGCGATTGCAGTTATGTTTGTTGGATAAAGTTGTACAAAGAATGAGAGGGATGAAAAGTAAAGAATTTAGCTCCGCCTCTCTCAAACAGCATAACAACAGCTCAAACGGCATGGGTTGGTTCAGAATAGAATATGAACAAGCTTCATTTAAGCTCTGAAGAAGCCATCAGGATGATTGGTGAAACATCAGCTAGCTTTATTTATCAACAAATTATGCAGAAGGGATCTAGAAGATTTGTAAATAGCCGTCTGAAGAAAATGTTAATTTTGACGAGTAACAAATGCCGCTCTCATCGTAGTTGTCCGTGTTCTTTATAATTTTATGAAAGGATAAAAAAATCCTTATTTTTATTAAAACTTAAATATTATTATTATTATTATTATTATTATTATTATTATTATTATTATTATTATTATTATTAATTATTCCTCCTAAATATTCCAAATAACTAACATCGGTCCATTTTAGATCAACATTAAACACACACAACACATTAATATGATGCCTCAGTTGGCCTCGTAAAAGAAAATAATTGAAAATGACATTAATTTCTAAATTAACAGTTTTTTTTAAATTTCGTACCATAATTTATTGATCTCCAAATAAGTCAACCGTCAAGAACTTAGAAAACAATTTTAAAAAATAATTGTTCAGGCGAAAGACTAAATATTAATTTCAAGCTTTGACGCAACCCGGCGCCACCGCACTAGGACAAGGATGAAAAAGACGGGTCCCGACGGGATTCACGCGTGGAACGGGAGTGGGTCGAAACGCTCCGCGAATGCCTCCTAATTTTAATTAATTTTGATATGCAATACAAATGTTTGTTTGTTTCTTTCTGTTTGGCTTGCAGAGTACAGTACATTTATTAAAGTAATTAAAAACAAAGTTAAGTGGTTATTACTCCGCTGAACCTATCGAGAATCCAAAAGATTCCTAAGTGGTCCTTCGAACTCTGAAAACAGCGTTAGCCTCACCATATTTTTGGTCCCATCGAGCCGGATAAACCGTTCAAGTGCTAGCAGAGACAATTTAGTGCAAGTCAAGGTAGTAGCAACCAAGAAGCAAGCAGCAGCAATTTCAGTGTGGCAAAGCCGGCAGCAACAAAGCAAGAAATCAAATCATGTGAGTCCGTTCCATTTTTCTATTCTATCCT